TTAAAAAAATAAATATATAATAAGGACAATTTGGTCAAATATACATTCAAATAATCTTTTATTATTTTAACCAAACACGGTAATCTTACATTCCTGCTAAACCAACCAAACACAAAATACAACATTCCCAGTAATCATATTCCCTGGTAATCTTTTATTCCCACTGGTAATCTTACATTCCGTGAACCAAACGCACTCTAATAGGTTAAAGTTAGGATGTCTTATTGATACTATTGGTAGGTTTGATTTTGTATAAGGTGCTGGCAAGCTCCTCACTTCACGACATCTACTTTATTCGAACCTACGCATGAAAATCATTACGTGCTAAGTAAAACTTAGTGAGGCAGAAATATAACTTAAGTTATGTAAAATCATAAATTTCATAAAATATAAGAAACAAGCTATAATTTAAATAAAAACATTACACTTCAAACCGGGCTAGTCAAGTCGTTTTCCTTCTGAAAACCTGAAAAATCATCATCTCATGATTTTATCAAAAATCATGTAAGTCAACATAGAATATCATAAATAACTTTTGTTCTTTTCATTCGAACATATTTCAAAACTTTCTTTTCAATTCTATGTTTCTTTCATTCATATATTGTCATAACTTTTACGTTTATTGTTATAACTCAACGTATATGTAAGAGAATATAATGTACGTGAGTTTATGGTGCGCACTGGGCACAACACGGTGTCGAATCATAACTGAATTTGAGATATGATACACTTTAGTGCAATCATAACTTGAATGAGCACCAACGGTGCTAAACATTAATACACGAATGTACCAAAGTTGAGCTGATAAGTACTCACTTAATGACATGTCAAATGTACCTACGACTCTCAATACAACATAGAATGAACTTATATTTATCATCATAGAATAATTTATTTATTTGTATTTAATAACTATAAAATATCTTATATTTGTAATTATCTGATAACTATAAATATCTAATAAATATGCTAGTATCGAACTAACATAATCTAAACTTAAATATAAAATTCTATACAAATAAATTTGATACTTAAATCGATATAAAACTAAATCGTACTTCCATAGTAACTTTCAAATTTCTCAAAATATTTTCCTTAAATTCCATATATATATATATATATATATATTTCCATTATGAACCCTTCAACTTTTGCTAATTGCACAATCAACCCACTAATTATGAATTCTTTCTAAAATTCACCTTAACTTCCCATTAAATTCATAATATCATTTCACTATTATGGTCATGTCACATTAATCACATAAACTTTCCAGTACCTTAATAAAATATTTAAACCAACATTTGAATATTTAAAAACTTGCAATTTCATCCTTAACTTTATGAAACTTTTCAATTTCAACCACTCAACTTGATAAACTAGGAATTCGATCCCAACTCAACATTTAAACTCAAAAATCAGCACATAAATAAAATTTTCAGCAATGTATTATTTTACCCAAATGGTACTTTCACATTTAAAAACTTGAAATCAAGTCCCTATATTTCTTTGATTTTTCGAATTCCACCCCTAACTTTTCCCTAACTTGAAATTTGGTTCCAATCAACTTTGTAATTTTTCTTAAAATTTTAAATTATCTTGTATTTTCGATTAATAATTTAGTTTTAACCCTTAAAATTTTATCGTATATCGATGATATGGAACAATATGTCAAGAATTGTCATACAGAGATAAATGTAGGGAAGCTTATGAAATTCCTCCATCCAAGCTCTCGCCTTCTTTAAGGCAATCATTCAAGTCGATATCACTTTTATGTATAGAAAATCTACGTAAATATTGTTAATCACAATTGTACGAAACCGAGAGATTTCAATAATAAAAGAATTATTGTTATTTTTTGAGGTCTTAGATTAGAACATCAAATAATATGAAATGTGAGCGTTCGATATAAAATGATTTAGAGTTATTATTTAATATATTGTATCAAATTATCATATAACGATTGAAAAGGACGTTGAACGCCAACCTACTTTATGTATGGGTACGTATTATTTTTTAGGGTAAATTATATAAATTATCACCAAAGTTTTAATAAGTTCTTTTTTCACTTATGTTTTAGAAGTAACAATTTGGTCATCGATGTTATTTATTTGTAACAAATCAGTCATTCAATCGTTAACAGTCGTTACTAGTATAACAAAATGCTGATGTGATGCATTAATTCGACTAATCTAACATCATTTAATCACGTGAGAGAGTAATTTTGATCGACGTTTGATTGTGAGAGGACCCCGATCCCTAAGAAGAACTTAATTTACCTATTTCAAAACTAAATACTCTTTTGCAACTGTGGGGGAGAATTTCTCGGGAAAAAAAGTTATCGATACAATGATTAAAAGGAAATTATATTTCTCTACTTAAATCTCCACTGAATTGATCACCTTAGCTCTTAGACCATTTCTTTATTGAACGGACAAAGCTTAAACCTGCATGTACAAATGTTCAACAATCTTCAAGCTTTCCTTGTTCGATAAAGGGAGGGTCTAAGAGTTAAGGCTTATGTCAATGGAGATATAATTCGAGAAATATATTTTTTCCATGCACAACCATACAATCAAAATACCCTAAAAACCTAAACGAATCAATTGCATGAGTTAACTATGAGGAATTTTGATGTATAAAGCAAGCCCTTGTTTTAAGCATGGAATTATGATAGATGGTTCACATTAAAGATGGGTTTAAGCTTTGCAGGTAAACTTTGAAACCAAAACACATATCGGGGTAATACCTGATCATAGTGGAGCCATGCACATGACCACTTTCATTCTTTTTTGCCAAATTTAAGCATTCCCATCCCATAATTCTCTCTTCAATCTTTGTTGGGAATTAGCACAGTCCATATCATAAATAACAATACATATAGGCCCCCCATGACCCCCCACACTAATGATATACTTTCACTGTGATTGTGATTGTTGGGAAAAGAAGGTTGAGGTATTATTGTGACATCAGGTGATCGCTATTTTCTTTTGCCTCTTATCTAATAGGCAATATGAAAGATAAGGATACCAAACCCATTAACATATAATTTAATCTTCATGACAAGCTTCATCTTTGTACCAAACCTAAGGATTTCTTGTCAATACGCACACATTGTTGACGCAACTACTCAAACATGAAATCTCTATAAAGAATAACAATACTCCCTTCGACCACTGAGATCGTTTAATGGGTTCTCTTCGATATTATACTTGAATTAAGGGTAAATTATGCATGTAGTACTTAAACTATCAATTTTACTTTTTTTCTTTCTTTTCTAGAGAGGTCAATTTATCTAATTTCAAAATCAAGAGAGATCAAGATGTCATTTATAGTAATATAATACTTTTTTCAATGTTTAAAGAAACTTTTGCATGAAATAAAGTTATCCTTGAAAATGAAATACTAATAGATGCTAATAGGAAAATATATATGTTTTAAAGGATATAATTGTAAATTCACGTATCTTATTTTATTTGCTTGCTCTTTTAATTTTAACACGCTTTTCTCTATGATGGCAGTATGACCCGAACCCGACGGGGAAACCCGAAACTCGGTCAAGTTCGGGTCGGGTCGGGTCGGGTTCGGGGCAAGGTATCCCCGTCTTGATTATATATATTTTATATTAATTATATATATAATATTTTATATTTTTTATATTAATTATATATAAAATATTTTCGGGTTCGGGTTCGAGGACGGGACAAAAAAAATCTCCGACGGGGCGCCCCGATAAAAAACCCGTCGGGGATCAGGTCGGGGATGGGGATTTATTTCGAGTTTGGGAACGGGATGAGCAAAACCCGCCCCGAACCCGACCCGTTGCCATTCCTACTTTTCTCATCCTCCATCCTTCCACCTTTCCTTTTCATATCCGATCAAATTCTATGTTTAATTAATTTATAACGATTTTATTTTTATTCTTTATAATGATATAAAAATAAATATTTTATATTTTAAATTATAAATTATAAAAATAAAAATAACTTCAAAATATTATAAAAACTATTAAATATTTTCAGTTACATAAAGAAATTTTTTAGAAGTATTTATGAAGAAAGACTTTAACATATAATGTAAAAAATATTTTGTCAAATAAAATAAAAAAAACTTAAATTAATATAGAAAAACAAGAACCTAATCGAATTAAAATGATTATATTAAAAAAATTTAAAAATTAGTTTAATTAAACCTAATCGATCTCAACCCTACTAATAAATGAAAGCCTTGAGAAACATTCCAACAAGGGGGCTATGGCCCCTAAATGTAAAAAAATAAAAAAAATTGGACTCATAAGTTCTAAAGCTAAAGAAATGGAAGATTACTTTCTATCCTGAAAATTGATAGATTTTAATTTGATCTTATTAAAAATATATTATATGATTTTAAATTAATATAATAATAAATTTACATTTTGCCTTTTAAGATATTATAAATTAAATTTGACCCATTAAAAATCCATAACTTACAACTTATTTTATCATTATTATAATGGACTTTTCATAAATATCTTGAATTTTTTAAGGTGCTTAGAAAAATTATATTATTATTTGATGAGCCTCTACCTTTATTAACATAAACTTTATTACTAAAAAATGAATAAAAATACAAAGTAATGATTTTTTAATAATATGGGGTAAGTATTATGTAATATATGTTCAAAAATAATTCTCAATTATTTGACATTGAACGCTCACACCCTGACATTCTTAGTGCTCAAACCTGGAACCTTAAGAAACTTCAACAATTCTTTTACCACTAAGAGGTTGCTCGATTCGTACATAAAATATTAAAAATGGCGTTTTATCAATCAATAGAGGATTTATTAATTTCTCCCTAAATAAATTTAGGGTTTTTATTCAATCATAAATTCACACGCAATCAAATTCGAATACATCATTAATCAATAAGCAAACAATTTTGAAAATAATTAAAAATAAGAATACTAAACTTTAAGGCTTACTAATGATTAAAAAGAATACTCGTTCCAGTACGACCCGAGAGCAATATAATCACAATGGCATGACATATGAACTTTGGAACTCTGATTCATATGGATCAGTTCCTGTTGAGAAGCTCTTCTATCATCTGCAATGCTGCCTTCTGTTCCTCGTCCAAGCCATTGTTGCCGACTTCGTCCACGACGGGTTCATCGGAAACAGGCATTTTGTCGGTCCGAGTCACTTCCCCGTTTTTGTTCCCTACTTCCACCGTCATCACCCAGCACGAATCCGATCGACTCCCTGCTCTCTTTTGCCACACTCCGATGTGGGAATTCTCGGTGTCGAGCCTTAGACAAGTCAGGGAAGGAGACGGGGCCTTGCAACATTTTCGAAGCTTTTCACTGAGGATCGAAGAAAGGGTGTTGCGAGGCGTGGTGGTATTTTCGTTTCCCGTCGGGTTTCGGGGCACCGGAAAGTTCGTCTTGGCATTACGTCCGCTTATCAAAACCGCTGCTTCGTCGTAGGCTCGAGCCGCCTCTTCGGCTGTTTCAAATGTCCCAAGCCATACCCTCCGTTTCCTATATCACAAATTGTACTTAAGATCAGTATAGTACTTGATAGCCTTAGCATGTGATCAACTACGTACACACATACATACTATTGAAACAAGCAACTAAAACATAATTAAATACTAATTAATTAATTTGTCAATTTGGAAATGCTCCCAGATGATGCATAGATAAGAATGAACACACGATTTTACTGGTGAAAATATATAATCAATAGAAAATATAAAGAAAATATATAAATTATACGAGAATTTGAAATTTTCAAGAGAGTGATCATCCCATCAACCTCCTTCGATCCATCCGGTCAAAGATGTACAGAAACAATTAGGAGCAGATCCTAAAAGGATGTGTATATGTATAAAAGAATGGATCATGAAGAAAAGAAAAGCAAATTTATTGAGAATACAGCAAAGGGTGGCGAATCTCCGAGACCCAAGAGCCCCACTGTCGCTGCCGGACACCTCTGAACTTCTTCGACTGTACCATGTTGTTGTTAATTGAACACCTTCCGATTGTACGAGAGAGGAGGAGAGACAGAAGCCGAGGAAGTATGTCTTTTGATATGTGGAAATTGTGGGATATTTGTACATATAATCTCAACTACAAAGGTGAGCTTATAGTATGCCAAGGGTACAATCAGTTTGGTTACTTTTAATTGTCTGAACATACAATTTGGGGTGACAAAACAAACTGTTTCATAATTCATAAATATGATGTTTTTTTCCATTAAATAATTAATGATCTATCTATTTTTTCACACTGAAGTAATGAACCACGTGGTGATGATAAATGCCAGGAAAAGGAAGAGAGAAAAATGAACCCTTTGTTCGTATTAGCTCATTTAATTAAACGAATATAAGATTTTATTCATGTTTATTTATTTAATAAATAAATAAATTTCTCATCAAACAGTTCGTTAAACGTTCGGTTCATTTACATCATAGTATGAATATTATGAACGTAGGTCTTGCACGACATGTTGTGGATATTAGAATTTAGAAAGATTTCTCATAATTTGAATAAGAAAAAAATAATATATTTTTATCATTAATTATGGGACATAACTAATGTGATATAAATAATATAGTTTTCAATAATTTGATATAACACAATTTGATTGTTTTATATAAATTTATAAATTGGAAAGTGTTGGCGGAAGTGGTTTAGATTCAGAAATTTGAGTTTGTAAGGTCAAGTTCAAATCTTACCAGTGTCTCTCTTTGTGGGTAATCTGTAATTTCATATGTAAATCTCAATTAGATTTTAAGTATGTCCTGACTCTGGACAGAGAGATCCACTTCTGATCTAAACTTTTTAGTACCAAAAAAAAATTGGAAAGTGTAAAGCCAATTAATTTTTTTACCACTTATGTTTGAACTACCTGATTTAAATGCATTTATTTACTTGTACTCTTAACAAAAATAATAAAAACCCACCACAAAAGAAAATTCCATGATCTACAGCATAATTGTCTTCAGATATTTTTTAATTTTTAAAGGGTAAACCATATGTTTAGTACTCTAAATATTACTTTTGTTATATTTTGGTCACTTAACTATTTTTTTTCAAAATCATATTTATTGTTTAGTTTTGATTTCATTTTGGTCACCCATTGTTAAAAAATTAACATAGCTATAGATGTGGCATTAAAAAAAATTAATGATGACGTGATATTATCTTATGGTAACACATTAGCATCACAGTTATTTTTTTAACGATGAGTGACTAAAACTAAGCGTTAGGTATAATTTTGAAGAAAAAAATAGTTGAATAATCAAAATGGAAGAAAAATGATAGTTAAGATATTAAACGTGTAGTTTACCAATTTTTAAATAATAATAATAATAATAATAGACAACTAAACCTTAACAAAATAATAAGATTAATATTTTAAAATTTTGATCTAAATTTAAGCCTCATATCCATACGAAGAACATATATTATTTATATTTATAATTACTATTCTACTTATAATTTAAAATACAAATTTTCACTTGTAAATCAAGTAAAATTGAAATAAAATAAACTTATTCAGCAACATCAACAAAGATCACTTTCATTAAATTAAAGTCTTGCCTCGTATTACCGACAGGGGTTGGTTCAAGTAGTAAGCAACTTGATATCGTTTAAACAATATCTCAAATTCAAGTCATTGTATATGCAGAAAATCTCTGCTGGAAGACTCACCCACCAAAATCAGGTGTATAGCGTGAATCAGTTCGAATTAGTCAAAACGGAGCCTTAAAACCGAAATGACAACTACAAAAAATCGACCTCGTATTTTTTAACAAACTTAGCTATAAAACTAATAATTTATTACTTTCATAGTTAGCTAAAATAATTTATTTGTTTAATAATAAAACTTAAGATTTCATAGTCTATACATAATTTTTTTTCTTTGATCTTTTTAAAATATTTTAGTCATATTATTATTTTTATTAAAATAATTCTCGTTAAATGAAATTTATTATTAATTAATAGTGAAAAAAAAATATTGTTGACAAGATATTTTCATAAATATTTAATTATTGATATATCACATATCACGTCATCTTCTTGCATGATTAGTTAATGATGTAATACATAACAATATTTTGAGTGATGTGACATATAAATTATGACATGTATATAATTTAACACATATAAAAATATCGTATCAGTAACATATGTTAATCATTCATCAACTAATAACTTTTATTTAACAAATCTAAAATTGATTTTTTTTTGGATAATTCATCAATTTTATTACCCAAAGAAGCATAAAAGGCTACAAAAAATGCCGATCTCAACACCTAATGTACAAACTACATACAAAAAATATCAGATCGGTTCTAATATAAACCCCATGAAGTATAAAGGTTAGAGTTAACTCTATCAGTCCTATTAATGTTTTTCCCCCTAAGCTTGATTCCTACAAATTCTTTGATGCAAATCAGGAGATCATCATTGGTTCGGTGGTATCCTCTAAATATTCGTCTGTTACGCTCCTCCCACAAATGGTATAAAGAAGCACATCATGCAAGCTTAAGGATTGTAGATAAGAGAGACTTTCCTTTCCAAGATCTAGAAGCCCAAACTAGCAATTCCTCCCATGTTGAGCATTGTTTATTGATGCTGCTGAGAAGTAGATTTTTTTTCCATAAGAATGAAGCAGTATCGCAGTCAAAGAACAGGTGGTTTCTAGATTCCATTTTATCATTGCACAGCACGCAATTTCCTTCGGTGATAATTCCCATTCGTATCAGTCGGTCTCGAGTTGGCAGTCTGTCGAGGATTGTCATCCAAGCAATGAGACTGTGCTTAGGAATATGTTGTGGGAACCAAATCAGTGAATGCCAGGGAACTTTGATTTCCTTCACCCTAATCTCCTGCCAAATGTCTTTAATAGAGGATGCACCATTCGAAATAGGTGTGGTTGCTGCACTGCGTAATTTGAGGATACGATTGAAACTCCAGCTGAAACTGGCTCTGTTTTCCATTTGCCACAGATTTCTACCCTTTATTACATAAGCATGGATCCAAGCAATCTATAATGAACCCTCTCCAGCCAGTAGATTCTTTAAGAGTTTGATCAAGCAAGCTTTATTCCAATCTTTTAGGTTTTTCAGCCCAAGACCACCCTCAGATTTTAATTGACAGATTTTAGTCCAGCTGACTCTTGCACCCGTAGCAGATTTATCTGAGCCTTTTCAGAAGAACCTAGAGCAAAGTTGTTCAATTTTGCTTATTATGGCTTGAGGAAGGGGAAGCTGCCGGCACCAGTAATTAGCAATACTGAACAAGACTGCTCGAGTCATTGTGTATGCAAAAAATTCTTGTTGAGAGACTCACTCACCAAAACCAGGTGTACGATACAGATCAATTCGGATTAATCAAGGTAAAGCCTTAGAACAGAGAGGGTAACCCAAAATAAATTGTTATTTGAACAAGCATTAAGGGCTTACTTTAATATTATACCTTAATTTTGTTCCTGGTATCTATTTATTTCAAACTAATACTTTGAATAGGCTGTCCCGGTGAGACTGAATTTGGAACTTAGGGTTAGATAGGTTCCCAAAAGGTGAAGAGCTGCACAGTTAATAACTAAGATTTCTATTACTAAATTTGACAAAATCTAATACACATATCTTAGTTGAAGCATTAAATAATATGGACTGAGAGGTGGTGAAGTAGAGTGGGATTCTCCATTACATGTGACGCTGAATCATGTGCTTTGCACTACTGAAAGTAACAACTCAGCTTCAGTATCTATTATTTTACACAAAATAATAGGAAGAACACCAAGGGTGTTTGTTTTTACTGTGTAAGGTCTGCAAAGCTCTTATATCTGCGCCGCGCAGACCACACGTAGACATTGAGCTTCGCAGACCGTTTGTTTTTTAGAAGACAAAAGCTCTTCTAACGTCTGCGTGAGGTCTTCTTGGTGCAGACATGGTTTTATGTCTTCAAATGTCTGCAGACGTCTTCAAAGAACATTAAAATTATTTAAATATATTTTAAAATTTATTTTAAAATATGGATTGATTTATTTTAAAACATGAATGGTTTTATTTTAAAATATGGATTGATTTATTTTAAAATATGGATTGATTTATTTTAAAATATAGATTAATTTTAAAATATAGATTGATTTATTTTAAAATATGGAAAAATTTATTTTAAAATATGGATTGATTTATTTTAAAATATTGATTGATTTATTTTAAAATATGGATTGATTTATTTTAAAATATGAAAAAATTTATTTTTAAATTTGGATTGATTTATTTTAAAATATGGATTGATTTATTTTAAATTTTGGATTGATTTATTTAAAAAATTATTATTATTGTAGTTGTATGAATTATTTAAATTTCAGTATTATAAAACTAAAACTATTTCAATTTCAATATTGCAAAACTCTTTTAAGTTTAAAAAATCAGTTTATTTATATTTCAATTTATTTTGGCAGTCTGCAGACGTTAAAAAACAAACAGTATTCTTCTTGCATACTGCAGACTTTTGGTCCACCTCTTCTGCTGCAGATACTTGCAGATGTGGTCCGCAGACTGCAAACATTTTACCTCTGCAAAAACAAACACCACCCAAAACTCCGGCAGATTAGCGTGAATTGTTTGTGAATCGTTCATTTATATTCGTTTATTGAATTATTATTTATTCATTTTGATTAAGTTAAAGTAATTTCAAAGTAGCATATATGTTCTATTCAATCATATCTTACTATAACTGTTGGTGTTTGAACCCGTTACTAGGAAGAACAACGATTTCTTTAACTACTTAGATAAGTTGGTTTGTGTCTTTTTGTTAAATTAAATAAATGAATATGAATAAAACTTTTATGTTCATTTAATAAATGAACGAAGATGAATGGATGTGTTATTTCAATGATAATAGAATAGTAAATTACATTAAATAATAATATTTTAAAAATTAAATTTATCTTTATTTATTTAATAATAATACTAATAATTAATGGAATATTTATATTTAAATTTTTTGATATTTTTATATTTAAAATTTAAAATATTTTTATTAAAAAAACAAATAAGGCATCAAGCTTTTAAAAAATAAATTTGACCCTCGAAGTTGAAAAAATCAATTTAACCCATTTATCACATCATCAGCCACATCACTAGCCACCGTGTACTACGATGTCAGCATCGTGAATTGTCACATCAAACCGTAACAGTCAACGCAAAAACCGTTAGTTAAAGGGTCACATTGAGTTCTTTTTTCTAAGTTCAAAAGCCATATTTAGTGCAAAAAAAAATATTTGGAAAACTATAAGGGCCTCAAATACCATTTTATCTTCATAAAATTATGATTTCATTTTAAAAATTTTACTAAATCTAAAAATATTCGATATCAATCTCTAAATTATTATCATATATTCTAAATTAGTCCCAACATTTTAAAGTGTTATATATTACTTCACAAGCTGTTTGTATTATTTCTTTTATGCTTCGGTTAACATGTCATTTTTTAAGGTAATGAGAATTGAACTCGTGACCTTTAGAGGAATTAATCTAATTTCTAAGGTCCTCGGAATTTTGTTAGAATGGCACTAGTTCGCCATTGACCTTCAAAAATAGATAGATTTCTTTTAACCAGTAGAATTGATGACTTATTAATAGAAGACTTAAATATACAAAAGATGCCTAACTTATGTCATTTTTTTTAATTTAGTGCATAATGTTTATTTCGTTCCAGTTTAGTACAAAAGAAAGCGAGTGAAGATGTAGGGTTTACTGAAGAACGATGGGCTAATGGCCACCCATGATGAGGAAACCGCAAATTTCTTCCAGGGTACTGAGGTCAACTGTGTCTTATGCACACGTAATCCAGATGATGGCGGAAGTTCTGTCCAGGATTTACAAATATCTACCATGTTCACTCATCACCAGAAGATTATCGTAGTCGATGCTACGTTGCCTAATGGTGATCCAGAGAAAAGGAGAATCATGAGCTTTGTTGGAGGTATTGATCTTTGTGACGGTAGATGTGACACACCATTCCATTCCCTGTTCAGGACCTTGGACACTGCTCACCATGATGATTTCCATCAGCCAAATTTCGCTGATGGTGCAATTACCAAAGGTGGGCCAATGGAGCCTTGGCACGATATCCACTCCCGACTAGAAGGGCCAATTGCTTGGGATGTCTTGTTCAATTTCGAGCAAAGATGGAGAAGACAAGGTGGTAAAGATGTGCTTGTTCAGCTGAGGGATCTTGAAGATGTCTTCATTCCCCCTTCACCAGTTACATTTCCTGATGACCATGAAACCTGGAAAGTACAGTTGTTTAGGTCAATTGATGGCGGGGCAGCTTTTGGTTTCCCAAATACTCCTGAAGATGCTACCAAGGTTGGGCTCGTGAGTGGAAAGGACAGTATCATCGACCGAAGTATTCAGGATGCCTACATTAATGCTATCCGTCGAGCAAAGAATTACATCTATATTGAAAATCAGTACTTTTCGGAAGCACTGGAGTCATGATGACGTCAAGCCTGAGGATATTAATGCTTTGCATCTGATTCCAAAAGAACTCACTTAAAATCGTTAGCAAGATCAAGGCTGGAGAGAGGTTTGCAGTTTATGTTGTTGTCCCCATGTGGCCTGAAGGAATCCCAGAGAGTGCCTCGGTTCGGGCAATATTAGATTGGCAGCGAAGGACCATGGACATGATGTATAAAGATATTGTCAAGGCTCTCAGGGACAATGGCAGTGAGGAGAATCCCACAAACTATTTAACATTTTTCTGCCTGGGGAACAGAGAGGTTAAGAAGAGTGGAGAATATGAACCTTCTGAAACACACGAAGCTGATACGGATTATGCCAGAGCCCAGGAGGCCCGTCGTTTCATGATCAATATTCATGCAAAAATGATGATTGATAGGTGATGGAATTCTCTCTAGTTCTTTATTATGTTTCTCTGTAGTATCTACATCTCAATTAACACTGTTTTGCTTTCTGCAGTTGATGATGAATACATAATAATTGGATCAGCCAACATCAACCAGCGATCTATGGACGGTGCTAGGGACACTGAGATAGCTATGAGAGCATATCAACCGTGTCATTTATCAGTCAGGCAACCAGCACGAGGTCAGATCCATGGTTTCCGCTTGGCACTGTTGTTTGAGCACCTCGGCATGCTTGACGATACATTCCTAGCTCCAGAAAGTGAAGAATGTGTCCATAAGGTGAACCAGATTAATGACAGACATTGGGATCTATATGCAAGTGAGTCACTTGAGCAAGACTTGCCTGGACACCAGCTCCGCTACCCCATTGACGTTTCTAGCGATGGAACTGTCAGTGAATTGCCAGGAACCGAGTTTTCCCCCGACACGAAAGCCCGTGTTCTTGGTGCCAAATCCGATTATCTCCCTCCTATCCTCACTACCTAGGGGATCCTTGCCTTGTTCTCAAGTTATAACAACTTACCTTGTTCTGGTTCAGTGGCTCTGGCATTTGTAGCAGTAATAAATCTTGTGTTCTAGCTTGCAGAGTTTCAGTGTTGGTTTGCTTTTTTTTTTGTCCCCCGCCGTATCGTTTATATCTGAACCTAAACAACCGTGATGCTATGGTCTGATTTTTAGTGCTGAACCTACACATTTGAAATGATAAAACATAAACATCATGAACAGTAACATAAAAATGTATATAATAATAATAACTCGTTGACAATATTTTCATATTTTAATCGTGATCTATAATTAAAAATTATAAGTGTCTATCAATATCCAACATAAATATCAAAAATAAAAATAAATTAACATCATAAGCTAAAAAATGTCATCCGAATCTTAAAAGACAACGTCGAATCTAACTCAAAAAAACGCTATAAAAGTTGATAAAGAACATACTACAAAAGCCGATAAAATCACCCGATATCTTCGTAAGAAAATAGGAAAAATAATTAAATAAAAGAACAATATAATTCATATTAAAGGAGAGGAGAGAGGGGGGAAATAAAAAGAGAAGTATAGTGGACGTCCTTGTACAATTCTGGAAATACATTGTAGTCCCTGTAATATTAAACAGAGCAGTGGCGTACATCCTGTAACGGTTAGTAGTCTACAAACAATTGAGACTTCGGTCGTAGATATACAAGTTAAGTTTAAACGGAACAGCTCAGGCTCAGCTAGCTTTTACGAACCTCTCTAATCTATACATTTTTTTCTCTCTTCCCAAATAAATAGTAGTAATAATAATAAATCTGTAGCATTTTCTCACCTTTTTCTCTCTTTCTTCCCCCAAATTACTAGAAAGCAGGCTGAGAAGAAGAAGAATATATAATAAAAAAGAAAAAAAATCAACAAAAACCCAGTTAGTCACTGTTTTACAGGTAAATTCATTTTGGTTTCTATGTTTATGGTGGGTTTTTGTTTCATTAATTCATGTAAATTTCATTACTTTTGGTTCCTCAATTGTTATCTTGATGTTTCATTTCAGGAAACCAGATTCCCATTGATTTACAGATCTGTTTTAGCTTCTGTTAGTACTTGCTTTGTATATATGGGGTAAGTTCCTTTTTTCTTCTTTTTGGGTGTTATGATTTTTCTATTTTATGGGCTTTTATTGACAAGATTGAATAGTTTTTTGGTTGGATATGTTTTTTTTTATTTGGGTTCCTCTTTGTTTGTGGTTGAGTCAATGGAGTATTTTTTTTCTTCATCCTGCCCCTTTTTGTTCTATTGTAATTGACATGCTCAGCTTGGTTCTTTAATAATATGATTTTGTAGGATTTATTATGTCGATTGTTACTTTCTTTTGCATCTGGTGTCCGTGAACCTACTATGGCTGTGTTCGATAAAGAAAAGGAAAAGTTTTCTCACTTTCCAAACAATTATATGATTGTAAGTTACTGGTTTAGGCAGAGGATATTTTGATGCCTTGCTATTAATGTTAGATTAGAAAATGGGAAATTTTCAGATGTTGTCTAGTGGTTCTGGTGTAGCAGATAACATTTGTTTTATTAAGTGGCGAGTGATGATTTTTGGTTGAGATTGATATTGCAACATTTGAACCCACTGTCGAGAACTATTTTGCTTAGTAACCTTACCACCATACTGGACATCGTTGTGCAAGGTCAATGCATGGTTTCAATCATGGATTCAAGTGTAAGATCTATACCTAACTAGCTTTGTTCCAACATGATGAAGCTTTGGGTTCAAGTGTCATAGCGTTCCATTTATGGAGGATAAGCTTTGATTCTTAATCCCTTTGTCTTGCTAATTGATGAACCTATTAGGTGTATCAGTACTGTATCTTGATGTATGCTTTTTGTTGCAACTATGGTTCTGCTGCTGTTTATTGTACTTGATAAATGACTTTTACGGTATGCTTTATGTGGACTTGTATTTGTGAAATTATCATTTGATATCTTCCTGATGAACTTATTATCGGGGTAGTAGCCTCAGCTAGAGTTTTTGGCAGCTGGTATGATTGTGTGTGATTTGTAATATAGCAGTGGTTGTCTAGGATGCTATAAGAGGACGACTTTCAATCCCTTGGTGAACGAGTCATCAAAAGGACTAAAAGTTCAAGGTGAGACAGGCAAGAAAGCCAGCATATCGGAAGGTTTCTGGACCACTAGCACTTGTGATATGGATAACAGTGCAGTGCAATCACAGGGAAGCATTTCATCAATCAGCACAAACAACCAGACACTTGATCCACATGGCAGAGTTGCAGCTGCTAATGCCCCTGCTGAATTTGTGAATCATGGCAAGTTCCCATCCCTTATATTACCTCGATTGGATTAGCATTTGTATGTAACAGCTTTATGAACCTCCTCTTCCTGCCTGAATAGTTGTCTTTGGACCTCATTTGGTACTAAAATAAGACGAGGCTGTCTATGCACCATCTCATAACTGCACTTGGTTGCAGGCCTTCTTCTCTGGAATCAAATTCGGCATCGCTGGGTGGGAAACAGGAAGTCTGAAAATCAGGAGAAAGAGGAACGAGAACCAAAACTAAAGTGAGTTATTGTCAGAAAATATTGATAGAGGGTGTTAATTTATCTGCATTTTGTCTGGAATTACTAGATATGAAACAAGTTCCACATAACTAATTTATGTGGTAACCTTCATTTGATCATTGCCGTTCAGTTCTTTCATCGGGGCTGTACAAAGGCACAAGACAAAGAATAAGAGATTGTATTTCCACAAAAATTAAATTCTCAACTTCAAATCTTCTGGATAAGGGAGCAGCTTTAATTGTTCTGCCTTTTAGCTGCCTTTGTCCTTGACAGGATGAGTTTTGCTACCAAATCACAGCATTGTTTTAATAATACAATAATGACAACCTTAACCTGACATCAACCGCTCTGCTTTATTTAGAACCATATCATCTATAATCTCGGTAAAGCGAGTCCCCTTTTTATAGTTACCATATACGAGGCTTTGTTGGTCTTTCTCTCAACCACGAACACGGGCTTCCTTCATTAAGTCACATTTCTGTTCTCTGCATTCATTGCTGCCATGATGAATGGTGCTTGCATAAAGTTCGAGTGTCTTAGGAGTTGTCTCAAGCAGTCGGGTTTTAGCAAAATCCGGATGCTTGTCCATATAGAACCCGTATCCAATGTAGTAAACGTTGAAATGGAATACCGTCTGCTTACGGAAAACTACATCTGGTATATCAGTATATGATCCTTTGATCATTTATGAACTTTTTGGTTATCTCGTCGGCACTCATCGTCTGTTCACGGAATTCCTGCTTTGCAGTTGGAATGCGACCTACGAGAGTTTACTCGGAAGCAACAAGTCATTCCCTCAGCCTATTCCTCTTTCTGTAAGTCCCAACAACAGCAGCAAGCTCATGGAATCATGAATTGCTTGCTAATCTGATTTTGCGTCTCTCATGCTAAATGACAGGAAATGATAGATTTTCTGGTGGATGTGTGGGAGCAGGAAGGTTTGTATGACTGATCAATTAGTGCATTTGAAAGATGGTTACATACCAACATCCATCTGCTTTGTTGTAACGTTTTCAGTTGTTTTGTTTGCTTTCATTCATTTGAATATGTAATGACAGCGCTATGGCTTTGAGCAAATGAACAGAAGTTATTTTCTTTCATAAAGATAAAAAGAAAAGGAAAATTAATAGATTATACTCTTTAAAACATCTTGATTATAGAAAATTGTTTTATTTACATGGTTTTACTCTTAAACGATCATGCACAATTTGTTATAATTTGTTCGATTTGTGAACATAAACGAGTTTGTTCATGAATATAAACGAATCGAATATACTTCTGTTCGCATTCCTCAACTTGTTAAATTAACATAAAAATCTTGTTCATACTTGTTTATTTAACTTATTAAACGGACATTTTATGAACGATTTACGAACAGTTCATTAAACGTTCTGTTCATTTGCATTTTTATGCACAAAGAATCACATTTTTTTCTTTGAAAAAAATGAAGAGAAAGAATTTAAATTCAATTTATATTCATATTTTAGTTTACTTTTTAAATTATTTATGTTCAAAATGAATTAATTGGGGTTTTCGGATTCGGTATGCATTAAAAAGTTGGACAATGCCCTAATTTCTTTGAATATATAATTTTCTAAGATTAAACAAGTGTCCATGAGTTCTTGCATTCACCCAACATCAATCGGTCGTGGAAGTAAGGGGTTCTATCGTTGGGTGTTTGGTCCGTCACAAAATGTTAGGTGTTCGATCAATTAGCGATATTAATGATGATTGACGGTGTTAAAGGATTAAAATTATGTTTTTTTTTTGTATTTTCGTAAAAAAAAATTGGATATGACAAATACAATTTTAAGTTATTTTAATTTAAATAAAATTTTATAAATGCGACGCATGTCACTCAATATTTTTTTTAATGGCCGTGACAGACTACATATCTAATAAAGTAACGTCGGAAAACATTACACCTACTTTAAACGTTTTTTTTAAATACCTATAATTTAAACAATTGTTTTTGCATTAACAAAAAAAACATAAAAAAATTAGGGAAGAAGGGATTAATAGAGAATTCCAAAAGGCAAAAATGAAGTTTGAAACTGAAAAGGGAGGCCTAAGTTGCCTAACACGGATAGCTCAATTTTTTTTAATTTTTTCCACAGTGATTCATATATCTTGCTGGTAACTAAGCCTGCAAAGCTTGACATTGCTTCAAAATCCACTGTCTGCTCCTTCGCTCCTCCCCAGATAAACACACTGCATACATTGTTTCAATAACACACGCAGTTGCCGTTTCCCCAAAAATATGTATATATATATATATATATATATAGACACACACATTGTAAATATAGACCAAACTTTTTCTACAATGATCAGGAAACTGATCTTAGAACAGAAAAAAAATCATTCATGAGAGATTGGACCATCCTACAAGTACAGTAGATAAGATTTTATACATGATAATTGTGGTATGGAGTTAAATTGCAGCATCATTCACTTGATACTATGGCATGAGTATGATGCTGGTTTCTAGTACAAACAGGAGATTTCTGAAGAAACTTCGATACTTTTTTTTGGTTCAGAGAGAAACTTCGATTTTTTTATACGTACTCTTAACAATGCAATAAAGGTAAGTTTCCAGATTAAAGCAGCTTCCTCAATCCTGTTTGGTTGCTGTCACAAGTAAAATATGAACAAAATGGTGTTTTGGATGTATGAAACGTTATGTTGTCTTGCATGCATTTTTAATAAAAACATCTAATCATGTAATTTTATATATATAATGAAATAAAAAGTATGCAGCATGCTAAAACGAGTTGAGAGCTGTTGAATTTGGTATAGATATATATATTTCCTGTCGGTGAGGGGTCAAGTCAGCAAAGGAGGGTCATCAACAATGATCTGAAGCCGTCAAAGCGTTTAAAGTCAAGTGCACCAGTTTCCCAGGACAAGAGAAACAATTTCCTTGCTTTTTTCAATGAAGAAAAGCTTTTAATTGGTGATCAAGCCATCTGCCCCAGAGACATGTCTCCTTTTCTACAGGCACACAACTTGACTTATTATATATATATATATATATATATATATATATATATATATATATATATGTCCCTCCATCCTCTTCAAAACAATATCCCTTTCTTGCTCACATTAAGCAAGCAGTGATGGCAGCTTCATCAGGAATCTACACCAATGGCCTCAAAGTTGCAATCACTGTGGCTTTGATCATTACAATATTTCTGATGCCATCGGGTAATAAAATCCGAAAACTATTCGGGTTATATTTCAGCTATTTTTGTGGTTTTGATTCCTATTCAATTGCATATATCTTAGGTTTTGCAGTAAACTCAGGTGGGTTGCAGCAAAGTGAAATGGTGTTGGGGTCGAAGCCTCCCGGTTGTGTGAACGAGTGCTCGAGTTGCAGGCCTTGCATGGCTACTCTTGTCATTCCTACACACAAATGGAAGAAAAACTTCGAAAAAGTAACCTATGAAGATGAAAGCTATTATCTCCTGGCCTGGAAATGCAAATGTGGGGATCAGCTCTTTCAACCTTGATCGTATCACCATCCACACCGCCACAGATCTTTCAACTCAAATATATATATATATATTACTACTGTTGTAGATACTATAGGATAATCTTATGTTCTGTTGATTGCCATTTGAGAGGGGGAAAGATGATGATGGTTATGGTGATTTCAGTTTGCTAAGGTTATCTCCCGTCCTCATCTTTATTTTAGAGTATCTTCATCTCTACTCTAGAGTATATTTATCTTTACTCTAGAGATGAAACAATAATTCATCTCCAGCGTTATCTCTACATTATCATCAAATTTACTTTATTCATAATATTTAACTATTATAATATTAATTTTATAAATATAAAAAAATTCAAAAAATTATAAAAAAAAATTAGTATTATTATTTATCTAATTTTAATGTATTTTTATCTATCTTATAATTTAATATACTTTAATTAAAAAAAACAAAATATAGCACAAACTACAGTATTTCGTTAGATGTGGCACGGTACTATAGCAAATCTCCACTATAGTGCAAGATGTGGCTCAGGGTTGGAGATACCCTAAGAATGAGAAAACTGTAATCATCTCTATTTTCTTTAGATCATATCTATTATGATAGCCGGTGGCAGATGTAGGATTTGTCCAAGTGGACTTGTGCTATTCTAAAATTCAAAATTTTTTTATATTAATAATTTATTTTATTGAAAAATTTTATCGAAAAATTTTATTTATATCTATCTTAAATAAAAAAAATATGTTATTAATATACATGTATCTATCCTCAAAAGCATTTATGAATCCATCAGTAATTATTACTAGAGGATCAATAGTCTAAAATCACCACCTTTCTATTCAAACTATCGACACAACTCTTAACGAGATTGGATAACATACATTAAACGAAAACATAATGAAGAAGACTAGGAAAACATGAATTTCTAAGCCCAATTTAATAGTTAAAAACAAATGAAGCCCACCAGTATATAATCGATATTTTTATGGGTTTACGTTCGATGTGGTGAAACACAAACCAGGAATGGAAATGCTCACCATTTTCTCTGCTTCACGCCACCATAATTTCCTCAGTTATTCCTTTTCCACAACTTTGAATTCGGATTCGCTTCAAGCTTCGATCTTCCCCTTGAAATTCCGTCCCCTCCGTCACTACCTCGCCGTCCGCCTCCGTTCCAATTCCACAACGTGCGCCCCACGTTGTATCTCAGCCGCCCCCGTCCACCTTCTCCGCCTGACTCAGACTCCCCAGGTTCCCACCATTTTCTCTTGTTTTAGAAACATTTTGGTAATTATATTCATGCGTTTGGACTGGGATTAATTTATTCTTGTGAATAGTTCTGGAAAGTTTTAGACTTTGGATATTTTCCGCTCATATTGTCTTATTTGTTAGTGTGCGTTTTTCGCTATGAATAACATTAGTCAGTCAATTTTTTTGAATTAATTGAATTGATTGGTATTATTTTATAATTTAAATTTTATTTATTTATTTTAGTTAAGTAGTTTCAGTTTCACTCTAAATTGTTTTTTTGAATGATAAGAGAAAAACGGCAAAAATGGGAACTAATCCAATATGCAGTACATCACTGCATGATCCATATCCTCCTTGTATATAGCTTCTAGTTCTGATGGAGTTGTCTGAAATACATGGGTTCCTTCTGCTAGATTCCAAGCTAAGTGAGCCATGCCATCCGCTAATCTGTTTCTCTCTCTAGGAGCGAACGTAAAAATTACCCGCCAACATCTCTGCATGAAACCAGTAACGTGAGTAGACATCGAGGATGCATACCTCTTCCCCGGTTTAACACTAATCTCGGCCAAAGCTTCTTTGCTGTCCGATTCAACGATGATCGAGGTCAAACCCAATCTCCCCGCAAGAGAGAGACCTTCAAAGATTCACCAAAGCTCCGCATCTAGAGTTGAACATTTGCCAATGAAACGAGCAAAGCCACTAACCCATCGCCCTTCACGGTCCCGGATAGCGCCCCCACATGCGACAAAACCATCAGTATTCCATCGGGCACCATCTACGTTCACTTTAAAGCATTCATTGGGCGGGTATTGCCAAGGCATATTGCGATTCAATATGCTTAAACGGTTACCACCCTGACATGGTTGACTTGCCAAAATCACACTAGTATCCCTTTGAAGCTGCTTGCTTTGAACAAGGATGCTCTCTTCCATTACATAGCCATCATCAAATAAGATTCGATTCCGTCTTCGCCATAAGCACCATAGGATCAAACCAAAGAGTAAATCCCAATCGGTTGAGTTGAATGGAAAATCCACTCGTTGCAACAGATTATAATCAATCTGATCCTTCAAGTTTAATTGAAAAAACTCACGCATATACTCCTGCTTTATCACACTTTGCCACACGCCTTTAGCCGCGACATAATCCCGGAAAATATGCAGGTTAGATTCCACCAACGCACCACAAATTGCACAACTAGCTTCCATGGTCATATGTCGTTTGCAGCGTTCCTCATTCGAAAGAAGCTTATCTCTATAAAGACACCAGATCAAAAACTTGATTCTTGGAAGGCCACGG